GATCTTCCTTTAAGATATAGATACCTTATTCTTTCTGGGGGTGGAATGGGAGGAGGGGCGTGTTTTGTTGTTTGGGTTGTTTAATTTGGTGGGGGAGGGGGCTAAAAGGTAGAAATATTAACTGGATCGTATGCAACCCAATTTCCCACATCATCAAATTAGGTAAAACAACAAGCCTAATAAAATTCTGCTTTCAGGTTTCATAATTTGTAAAGCAAATTCTAAAATGGATCTTTCTTCTTTCATGTTCACTGCAACTACTCATCCTCTAGCAGGGTTCTCCTATCGACCTGTTTCTACTTCCACGACTGAACTATGTCAGGGGAAGCACCAGGGAAAGACAGAACAGTACACGTGACGCCTTTACTGTTACCTTACGACTGTATTAACGCAAAGCCCGCCCGCGTCATACCAAAAGACGTTAAAAGATGGTACTTGTTGTTACCCTGTCTGGCGCTCGGCATTAAGGGGCTAAAACAAGGACTGGTCGGCTTGCAGTCAGTATATTGTGTCTGAGTGGGGTATTCATGTTAAACTGCGGCATGGTATCTCAGTGAGCTAGCACTATAAATCGGCATCAGTCCGGACTAGTACAAGCAGCCACACACACACACACGTGCATGCACGTCGCTATATAAGTGCAATAATCTTGGACGCGACGTTAAACCCAATTTCACCTCACCTCACCTATTAACGCAAAGATCCATTCGAAGAACGAGGTCCTGCTACACAAACCTACTTAATCTAATAGTTGCTATGTATTTCCTTCTGTGCCAGATCTACTCGGGAAGTACTGCGCTTCTTCGCCATTGCTTGGCATAGTCTGACACTCTATGGGCACGTGAGTAAATTGGCTTCAATGCCGCTTTCAACAACATTGTAATTACATCGTGGCGTGTCAGCGCTTAGTAATGCAGTGAAGCGAAAACTACAAGCAGCTCTATGGTGCCGACAACATAGAAACATAATGAGAGCGAAATGGGATTCGAACCCACGATCAGCGTTTTCTGTCACGCTTAGGCACGCAGCACGGCACAGTGAATTACGGCACTATCAACGACTGAGCCACCCATGTCTGCTTGTGGGCAAGTATCACTCGCTCTACTGCTTTATTCTTTCATTGGTTATCGATCTTGCGAACCCGAGTGGATTCTGGGTATATAGGTCACCAGCATCCTATGCTTGTCGTAAAATGGACCAGGTGGTCAGGGCCTCGTTCCGCAAGGCGATCGTAGCGCTACGACTGTAAGTCTACGTTAAAGTATGGGAGTTAAGATCACCTTAGCGCTGTGGAACAGGGCCCAGGGTCCACTTGTACAAAGCGACCTTAGCGCTACGACGATCGTAAATCCCATACTTTAACATAGACTTACGATAGTCGTAGCGCTAAGATCGCTTTGTGTAAGTGGACCAAGGATCGGTGACTTGGTTGATTATATGTCATTGTATCTCGATTGTATGGTCCAGACTATATTATTTACACGCCGCCGTCATAGAACTGAAATATTGCTGGAGAGCGACGTAAAACAACAAACAAACAACACTTAGTGATCAGCCCACTAGAGTCGAAACGCAATGTTCTGAGGTGAACTCTGCTGACACACAAGGCTCTATTCAACAGAAGTAGCACAGACTGGGTTGGTAATTCTTTGAGTGCTTCTTGTATCCTTTGAATAAGCTATACCCGTGTGAGTGTAGCCTGGTGAAGTAAACACGACTGCAACACCAATAGAGTATGTTTACAGCCTTAGTAATGACTCCACTTGATCCTGACTCGGCTTAGCAATGCCTACACATTTCAAGAATCGGACCATGATTAGGCTGTGTTGTTGTGTTTTGTTTATCGCCGCACTCAGCAATATTCCACCTTTATGACAGCGGTCTGTAAATAGCCGAGCCTGGACCAGACAATCCAGTGATTGACATCATGAGAATCGATCCACGCAATTGGGATACGATGACATGCATCAACAAAGTCAGAGAGCCTGACCACCCGATCGCGTTAGTCGCCTCTTACGACAAGCATAGTCGCCTTTTACGGCAAGCATGTGATGCTGAAGACCTATTCTGACCCAGATCTTTACAACTCCAACGGTTAGGCGACAGGCCAACACTATGGCATCTGTGCTACCGACCGACGGCCATACAAGCATTATTTCAGTTACAAACTCTCATAGTTAATCAGTGTGCCCTAACTCATTGATTTCTACTCAACATTCAGTAATGTCGGGAAAATCTGCTTTAGGTCCCAAGTACGTCTGCTGTAGAGTGAGTGAGTATGGGTTTATGTCGCTTTTAGCAATATTCCAGCAATATCACGGACGACACCAGAAATGGGCTTTACACATTGTACCCATGTGTGGAATCGAGGCGGGCCTTCGGCGTGACGAGCGAACGCTTTAACCACTAGACCGTCTGCTGTAGACCAACGTAGGGTGTTATATCCTACTGTGGGTTCTAATTGTGTGGTGCCTGCTTGGTATTGTTGGGGCCGCCTCACAGACGACGTTTAACGCTGTTCAGACCCTTGTAGAGTGTGGCCTGCAGTAAAAGGGACTCGGTGGAAGGTGTCCAACGTGCAGGATCCGCTGGTTATGGGTTCGACTCCCAGATTTAAATCCGATGATTTACACATATCCTTGCACACGCCACTGTACGTACACACGTAGACACACACTTCACATATCTACAATCCGTTTGAAGAAGTAAAGTTAAAACAAAAGAGGACATGTCCATATCTATATTTATGACAACTTGTTCTGCACCACACCATAATTACATTGTCAGATACGTCTGCTGTGCCGACTAACGTCCTGTGCCGGCATCTCATTCTCGAATTGAAATCAGCCCACATAAGTCTGGTTCAGGTGCTGTGCTGACTAACGTCCTATGCCGACATCTCATTCTCAAATTTTAAATCAGCCCACATAAGTCTGATTTAGGTGTTGTTCCGTCTAACTTTCTAGGCCGCCTCGTCATCTTGGAACTTAAATCAGTACAGATAAATCTGATTCAGGGTCTGTGCCAGCTCACTTCCTATTCCATCTCACGTCCTCGTTCTTCAGCACTGCACTGATCAACATCTCCACCTTGAGACAAGAGATACTCACAAATAGCACTCTGGTCGCTCTTTACAGCACATGGTAGCAATAATATCACCCGTCGGAATCTCTCACTTGTAGAATCTCCGCTCTCAACAAAATATTTCACCACGTTGAGTCTTCCATTAAAAAGTGCGTGAAATATCGGCGCTTCTGTTAAACAACTGTCCCTTGTTTCAACATCGACACCATGGTCTTCGACAAGGAACTTAACTATGTCCAAGTGTCCAGCCTTACAAGCTAGACGTATCGGCCGAGCACAGTGACCAAAACGGCTGACATCTTCCTCTGGGTCAAAGCCAGCAGAAACCAAAGTTTTTACGACATCTAAAGATCCGCTTTTCACAGCCCTTCCGACAACATTGGATCCATGTTTGAAAGATTCGAGTATCCCAGAATCCTGTTTCCTTATAAATGTAATAATTCCTTCATTGTCACACTCCTGTATAAGTGTATGGAGCTGTTGAAAACATGGACTATCCTCTTGGTTATTTGGGATGGCTGGTTCTCTTGATTTGATAAATCTTTCCATTACTGCTGCATCATTAGTATTCATTACATGCTCAATGTAACGAGTTCTCAAGCCAACAATCGGACTCGCTGTCTGGGTCAATGGTACATACACCACTGCACCTGGTAGTAAATGCTACTGTTAATGTTTAATGCTACTGGTAATGTTAACTGCATGTAAATGGTGAAAGTCGTGCAAGTCTCTACTTTGTGTGTGTCTTAAAAGACAACAAAAGAGCGACCGGTCGTGTATAAACCAAGGGGAGGTAACTCTAGACATATCTTTTGTGACCTGAATAATATCTTTCTGTTCGTCTTCATATCACGACCAGGATTATAATGGAGCATTATAACATATGGTCGGGTATGCATAATTCATACAAACTTACCTGTGTTATTCATGTTTCAGTCTGTAACACAACACCACATTTGTTCAAAGCCGCGTGGTGGGGGAAGTGAATTTTACACCGCTAAACTGTGTTTCAACTCGTGTGAGCTTAAAGGGATACTAATGCTCCTCGCCCCTCGCCCCTCGCCCCACGCCCCACTCCCCACGCCCCACGCCCAGCCTATATATTGTAACTGGTGCAGTGAACAAAATGTTTCGCTGTGACAAATCAGTAAAATTAACAGGGACACGTGGCCTTTGGGAAATGGACTGACTTGAGTAACGTGCGGAGATACTTGCGGGAAAAGGGCTAAACACCAAACTACATCCATAGAGATATGAGTACAACGCTGGGGAAGGATGCCTCTTACTATGGCACCGTTAAGAGGTGGACAGCAGAATTTAAGCGTGGCAGGGAAAGCCTTGAAAACGACGCCATTCATTGAAGGCCTGTCACGTCAGCAACACCAGAAATTTACCAGAAAATCCACGATATGGTGATTTTCGACCAGCGAATGACTGAACGTTACTTCCGTTTCCCGGGAGAGAATACATTCCATTTCACTTAAACGTTGGCACTGAGGAAAGTATCAGCTCGTTGTGTTCCAAAGCTTCTGACGTCTGATCAAACGGGCACAAGGCACAACATCATAATCACATCATAATCTAGCTCTGTTTAAAGCTGATCCAGAAAAAAATGGTTTGCAACGATTTGTGATTCCCCACTTCCCTTCAAACAACAGTCAAAACAGACAAAGAAGGCAAAGACGGCCTCATCAGCAGTAAAGGATACGTCCTATTTGTTCTGTGATGCCGAGGGTGTCATCATGGTGGACTATCATCAAGGCCAAACAATGTAGACATCATATTAATGCATTTCGGAGGCGATTACGAGATGAAATTAAGAATAAGAGATATTGGAAGCCGAGAAAATGTGTGTTCTTCCACCAGGACAATGTGCCAGTGCACAAATCAGTCAAACAAAATATGCAAGAACTTGATCTCAGGCCACTGTTTATTTTACTGACTGGTCACAGCAAAACAATTTGCACAAGTTTGTGTGGATATACATTCAGTTCGTTATATGCGTGTTCGTTACAAACGTAGTTTACTGTACCTGTATGACATCATGTACTGTCCAAAACAAAGATTTTGTGTGGTATATAATACTAACTTCACACATGCAATAGGGCACGTGCAGGGTGGGATAAATATTGGGCGTGGCATTATCTCCCCAAGCCAATAGAACAGGTACAGGGTATGACATGGGTGTGGTATATTATCTTTATACATACTGAAGGGCGAACCCACAATCCGCATAGATTTTTGCAACTTTGCTCATCGAATTGTGGCGCCTTGGACGATTGGACCACTGGTGGCACGCTGTTAGGGTACTCATATCTGTTTTATTTATCAGACTAACACGTTTGGTTTTGTAACGACATCTTTTAATGGAAACTCAGGAGCTGTAGTTTCAATGAATACAGGGCTGGGTTATTGATTTCAACACATTCTTTCAAAATCATCCTAAAGTCTAGTCTTTGAAACAAAAAAGAAGTTTAAATCCATGTGACACCGATTGGAAGCTATTTGAATCAAACTTTCTAGGACTGCTATTTGTCACGCCTTTGAGGTATATGGTACATAAAGTCCATTCCAATGGACAAAGGTAACACTTAATCAGCACTTGTTTCACTGAATGGAAACGTCAAGATGTGATTGAGTTTAAGTTTGTCCTTTACTGATTCTGGCAGAGGAAGACCGTCGACAGTTGTGCATAGCCTCATTCCCAATCTACGACGAATATTTATACAGCAGAGGTCCAGTAGACTCCGAGGTTCACCAGCTCGAGGGTTCAAATTAACATACCTTTTGACTTGGGTTTGTTGTGGACCTTCAGTTGTAACCACTTCCTCCAGTGGGTCATAGCCAGCGCTGACCAGAATACGAACCGTATTGTTCCGTCTTTCGACGTCAATTTTATCAGGATTATTCCCAAGAGGTTTGAATGAAGCAAATCCCTCAGTATGGATTAGTTGGATATTGAGTTCTATCAACATGTAGCGGACAATGTCGGCACAGTTTTCTCGAATGGCCAAGGCAAGTGGATCTTTGTCATCAAGGAAACAGCCTGCATCTAGGTGTGCACCATGAGTACATAACAGCTCCACCATATCCACGTTCTTTTCTTGCACTGCTATGTAAAGGGGGAACAAGCCACCATACCTGGTATTGCAATTGTCGTCAACTTTGAAGCCCAAAGAAAGCAACCTTTCCACGACATCTAAATCACCACTTTTGACAGCACACCCTACAGCACGTATCTTCCCGCGATACTTTTTATAGTAATTCTTCGGAGTGATTTTGGAAGACTTCATCAAGGCTAAAGCAGTGTTAATGTTTCCTGCCTTTATGAGAGTGTGGAATTCGTGTAAATATTCAGTATGGTTAAAACAGCCTGAATGTTTTTTCTTCTTCCATTTGAAACATTTTGCCATATCCGTGAATACCTATGTTTGTCTGCTCGTTTTAAATCCAAATCGAGGGGCAATGCTGGAACCTGACCATGTCATTTGTCCATCTGTAAAACACAGACGCTGTGAGTGAGTACACTTCCATCATTATTCCATACCATCAGTAGATACTTTCTTTAACAATTACTGAGTTCACAAATGTTTCGGAATTCCTATGTTTGATCATCATTTAAATCCAATTCGGACTCCAAATCATATTGTCAAAGAATTGTGTGACAATCTGAGTTTGTATTGTTTCACGGCGCTTTTACCATAATTCCAGATCCATCACGGTGGATACCATCTCTTATCATGTAATGGGAGGGTATTCCGACAGGATAAAGCCATATATACGGATAAAGTAGCAAATATTAATTGAAAGGTCATGTAGGTACTACTTTGATCTACCTTCTGTATTTACAAACAAAATGGCGTCGCCGTTGTCAATCTAACCCACTCTCCTACCCAGAGTTCCATGCGGCCGGCAGCCAGCTAGCATAGTACCTCTGCCACAGGCCAGCGCCATGTGACGATTCGTCACATCTTTCACAGTCCATTCAAGATATTGCATATGCTTTTCACCCGTTTCATGTTTGACAAGTCTACACATTTTCATAAACAAATGTCAAAGAATGTCATTGAGAAAGTATGCAAATACGTAAAAATCTACTTGATTTTGCGTGGTTATCCTATGTTTACATTGGTTGTACGGCTCCACGTGCTGTCATCGAAGCCCAACGGAGAGCTAGCCACACGGTCACTTTGATGCATAAATATATATTGTCATGCAACTCACTGTCGCAGTTGTAGTAGCATATCTATATAGTTATGCAAAACAATATGTAAAGCGCCCCCAAATACTTGCATTAGTCTGTTCTATACTGATTTCTGAAAAAGCGCGTTTGTTTACAAACAAGAGAAAAGTCCGGTCACGTGATATGCAAATTAGCCTGTGGCAGTGGTGTTATGCTGAGTCACCACTGCGACGGAGTGTGAATCTAACCATCAGAGTCAGAACTAACCATCGGGAATCTGGGAAACTACTGGGTAACTGTTATCATTAAAACAATGGTCTAAGAAACTGCTAATCAGTGTTTAACTGGGTCTTAGCTGAGGTATTTTACAAATTTGGGCAACTTTGGAGATATAAATTGCGAAACAAATTAGCGACGACACTAGCCTGGCAGGATCAGTTTCCATATCTGTGCTTGTAGACCTCTGCGCCTTGGGGCCTTTTCCCCAATTTAAAAGTTGGATGTCCGAATTCTTACCTTGTTTTATTTTCACGCTGTGTGTCCATCTCACCTTGTCATTCGTTACGTTGTGACAGCAAAACCACTCTCTAAACAACATGTAACGGTTAGAGTAGCTTCCCTTTGATAAAGGGCAGTTACTCTAGCGGGTGGACGGATGGATGGCCGCGAAAGGATATTCATTGTGTCACGTGAAATATCCCTACCGGTACCTAACAAGCGGGGACGTTTCATCACCTCTCGTAATTGCGACTTAAAGGCAGTTCAGAGTTTGCAAAATCTTAAAAAATATAAATTAAAGTAATAACAAAAATATTTGAGATCACTTAAATTCGTATCTTATCATAGATTTTGATATGATTATATACAAAATCAACTTCAAAACAAATATTCTTGAAAGCTACGAGACCGCTGTTGGAAGCGAGGGAATACACGCTGGTCAAGTAAAAAAAACGAACAGTCTCGATTGACGAGTTAAATGAGAAATTTACACTGTGTTTATAACGAAACATTTTCAAGAGAATAACAAACGGTAAGACGCTATATTAACTTAATAAGTGACCATCTGTCAATATTTTGCCTAGTCAATGTGGAACTGACGTAAAAGGACGTCAACAGTTTGTGTACGGGCCAGACACTTTTGATAACTGGAGACAGTTCGCGGAGAGGTAGCTCTTTTATGAAAATATTTCATTCAAAGTGTTAAGTTCACTGCAGTTAAATAGCAACCGTTATGTTCACTGCAATGAAAATATCACTTTTTCTCAACTTCAGAAAACTCACACTGAAGGACATAATATCACAGTATTTGTAGGGAATTGTTATTTTGCCAATCTGAAGTTACGCCACTGTCAAAGAAACAGGTTTCAGTTGGAGTTATATTGCCTGTTGACATTGTCGGACTGACAAATTACTGATCTTCTGACGTAATATATATTAATGCACACATTCCAGGAAAACTTGCTATGTTTCAGTAATGTTTGTGAGAGATGAGAACAGGTTTTTCGACTACAGAATTTAAGAATGGCATTACAAGATAAGAGGTTATCGCCAAGGATCGCTAAATTCAATGTTTATTCCCAATACAAGATGTGTATCATCCCAAAACACACTCTATTAATTGACTTCAGACAACGCTACCATAGTCTACCCAACCGTTCTTTAAGGAGATATAACTACTGTGAAACTTGATATAGTCCCACTTTGGAGTAGATATCTATTGTTTTAATTTGAACCGAGCGCTTTACCGCGAAGTTTCAAATGTATAAATAAGAAAGAAATGAGAAAGTATGACAACAAAATCAAACGTTAACTGCTCAATATTGTCTCCGATCTTGCATCAGCGGTATAGAGTGACACTTCGTGTTAGAAATGAAAGGGGCGGTCGGGTAGCCTAGTGGTTAAAGTGGTCGCTCGTCACGCCGAAGACCCGGGTTCGATTCCCGACATGGGTACAATGTGTGAAGCCCATTTCTGGTGTCCCCCGCCGTGATATTGCTGGAATATTGCTAAAAGCGGCGTAAAACCATACTCACTCACTCACTCACTAACTATAAATGAAAACTTGTAATTAACAGTTAGTGACTTGATTCAACGCCGGTGACAGTGATGATGGTCTTTATGCAGACGTTCTACCATGAGTAAAGCCATCAAGCACGGGTATGGTGCTGACAAGTCACGAAGCATAAATCAGGGTGATTCGAACCCACGACATGGCAAATGTAGCTCGCAAATTTAATAACTGTCGTCGGAAACCAATGTGAATCTGAAGCAAAGTACTCGTGGGTCACGATGATAACTGTAATACCGATAGCTTAAAAGGGGGACTTTGCTCCACAGCCTGGTACGCGTTTCTAGTCCCGGGCCAGACGGCGTGATTAGCCCCATGGGGGAATCTCTCGTGAGGCACGTCCTCTATCCACCATGACATTTGAGTAAACTGACGACAAAAGTGGATTGTTAACTTCAACCATACCTGCTGGGGCTGATGTTTACCCAGGCCAAGACCCCCTTTAAGGATGAACATCACGACAGTTTGTACTATAACTGGTATAAGGCTACAAGTATTTTATCATTGTCCAGAAAAGACTTCCTGTCCTCATTCAACTGTCTGGTCAAATGTGGAGGGTTTGGTTGTGTCAAAGTCTACCTGAGAAGTAAAGCTGCGCATTCTTCCCCTAACCTGATAACAGTAAAACACAAACATAAGACATCATATCGTCCACATTCAGCTTACATGTGCATGCATACCTTCTCCCACAACGGCCGGTGACCAGAACACGCTGGTGTAGGAAGACTTGCACCTCCAGGGTTACACAGGTCTTTCCATATAGCGTGAACGTTAACAATTAATGTGAATATTTGGTTGACATGTTCATAAAAAGGCTCACTGATCTTCATTCAACTGGGGGTTGGCCTCTGTAGTTGATATGTGACAAGTGAGGGACGTTTAGGGGAATTCCCAGCAGTGTGGCTTCTCTTCACAATACCCTCACATGGAGTCAACCACCCGCGGCGACCCGGGGAAGAATGGGTCCCCGTGATTCTAATACTTTCCCTGAATGGCGACTAAATAGGATCTTGTGTTCAGGTGTTGTGAGCTGGCTGATAAGGTCACTGTGCCCTGGTGGTGTGGATTGATTGTTGATAGGCCGCCGTCATATTGCTGGAATATTGCCGAGTTAAACAACAAACAAACAATGGCGTGGATCGATTAGTTACAGATTGCCTTAATATAGCTCAGATATTTCCACACACGATCTTTCAGACAGTGGTTTGTTACGTGTTTGTTGTCTAACGCCGTAGGCCTGTCAATAATCGTGTCTGGACCAATCAAACCAATGACTGGTACATTGAGAAGCATCCTACAATATATAGGTACAATGACATGCATCAACCCAGTAACCGAGTCGATCCATTTGTTTGTTTGTTGTTTAATGCTGCACTCAGCAATATTCCAGCTATATGACGGCGGTCTGTATATAATCGAGTCTGGACCAGACAATCCAGTGATTGGTATCATGAGCATCGATCTACGCAATTGGGATACGATGACATGCATCAACCAAGTCAGCGAGCCTGACCACCCGATCCCGTTTGTCGTCTCTTACGACATCAATAGTCGCTTTTTACGGCAAGCATGGGTTCACGGGTGTAGTATGATTGAAGTCACCAGAAGTGTATGCAATAATATCATAAGGTGTCCACGATGTTTCCTCTTTGGTGATTTCATCACCTAGGAAGTTGACATTTGTTGGCCATCAAAGCATAAGGATCATGGAAAATGACCATCTTAACTTGGGGGTCTTTCTTCCCACGTGTAGCCGACACATTATGATGCAATTGAAGCACTGTTTAAAGCGACGTAAATCCTAACTCACTTCTTGTGAAAGAAAGAATATGGGTGTGAATACAAATAGCAGACACATACGTGTATAGGGCGGCTGTGATACAGATGGAATAGTGCTGATTGTGTGACATTGTACCCCTGCGGGCGGCTGTGACACAGATGGAATAGTTCTGATTGTGTGACATTGTACCCCGGCGGGCGGCTGTGATACAGATGGAATAGTGCTGATTGTGTGACATTGTACCCCGGCGGGCGCTGTGATACTGATAGAATAGTGCTGATTGTGTGACATTGTACCCTGGTACGCGGCTGTGATACAGATGGAATAGTGCTGATTGTGTGACATTGTACCCCGGCGGGCGGCTGTGATACAGATGGAATAGTGCTGATTGTGTGACACTGTACCCCGGCGGGCGGCTGCGATACAGATGGAATAGTGCTGATTGTGTGACACTGTACCCCGGCGGGCGGCTGTGATACAGATGGAATAGTGCTGATTGTGTGACACTATCCCCGGCGGGCGGCTGTGATACACCTGGAGTAGTGCTGATTGTGTGACACTGTACCCCGGCGGGCGGCTGTGATACAGGTATAACAGTGCTGATTGTGTGACACTGTACCCCGGCGGGCGGCTGTGATACAGATGGAATAGTTCTGATTAAATTATGGCTTTAACCGTAAATGATCTGTTTTATATCACACGTGTTTATATAATACTGAATCAACAATTGTAACAGAACAAACACAACCATGTACAAATAAATATTTTTAACAATAAACAAGCACTCATGGCTGTCCCGTGTACATTCAACTTGCAATTCACATGACACATTTGGCCCCTGGTCACAGATCTGTGTCATGCCGCACAAGTGTGTCTTGGTGACAAACATCATTGTTCCTTTCTTTAATGTGTCTAAGCATAAGTATGTTCTTCATCCTCTCCGGCAGAGGTAGACAAGTGACAGCCCCCGCGACTCTCCTCCCCAGCGTCTGGCGGATGGTGAAGGTGCACAGCGTCTCCAGACGCCGAGGGTTGCATACAATGTACCTCAACTCTTCTAACTTCGGCCGTCTGAAACACTCGGACTTCCGCCCGTTGTCCTTGAACGCATGGACTTCCCTGACAGGGCTGTACCCCACACCCACCATTAAATCCACCATGTCATATCGTCCTTTCTCCAGAGCTTCGTAAAAAATAGTTTTGCCTTCTGCATGTGGTATGAGAATTGGCATACCTTTTATCTTCTTTATCAAGAGTTGGGCGTTCAGTTCAACCAACAGATACCGGGCGATGTTGTAGAAATCCTTGTGAATTGCAGTGGCAAGAGGGTATCTTTGACGCACGTCTTGAATGTCTGGATCAGCACCGAACGAAGCTAACAGTTTCACCATGTCAAGCTGCTGCACGGTCTCAGACAGGGGCGGACATCCATAAAGTTCGTATGGTCCATACGTCAACACTTGGAACATGGGCGTTTGGCCTAATCGGTTTCTATAATTCACATCGGCTCCAGCATTTATCAGATTTCGCGCAAAGACGTCCTTTTTTGAACACACAGCGTCAAACAGTGGTGTTTGGTCTTCAGTGTATCTGTCGCGGTGGTTGGCACTGGCACCCTTAGATAGAAGATAATGGCAAATAGAAGCGTGTTCATAACGAACCGTTTTATGTAATAATGACGTGGCTCTTCTAATAACATCCTCAATGGAAATTCCACTTTCAACAAAATATTTCACAATTTCAAGTCTACCTCGGACCACAGCGTCCTCTACTGGCGGTGAAGTATAGTCGTCGCTCTCCATACTTACACCACAGTCTTCCACGAGGAACTTGACTATGTCCACGTGACCAGCTCTACACGCCATGCGTATTGGTGATTTGTGACGATCGAAATAGTTTTTATTATCAACACTGAACCCAACAGAGCGCAGGGTTTTTACGACGTCCAAGTAGCCGCGTTCGGCTGCACTTGCGACAACATGATAAGAATTATTGAAGAACTCTGGCTTCACGTGCTTATCCTTCAGCAGATCGCGTATACCGTCAGTGTCCCTACTGTACACGAGTTCCTCCATCAGACGCAGTCTCTGGCGGTCATTTAAAAGTACTTCCCTATATTCTAATTTGAAAAGTCTTTCCATTTTGTGTATAGTCAAGACGTTGATCGACTGGTATTTGATAATAAATGATTGGTCAAGATCGATTTCTTAAACATAAATAAATGGTTTTCACTTTCCTAATTTAATTACCCATTCCAAGGGGTGCTAGCGCTCGGAAATGGTGTAACCAATTTAGTGGTTGAAGCTTTGGCTCGATTCCACAAGGGTGTGATCATTGTGATGTCATTGGACCCTTGGTATCCCCAGCAGTGATTATATGTCAGCAATTTTTAAGCAGCGTACTACTAAAGCACTTGCGTACACAGGTCTGTCTATTTTGAGAAATATACATTCGACATGTACATATTATCAATATACCAGAGTTTCATCAGCGCATTCAGTCGATAACGGTGTCTATCATAGTCTGTAATGTGTACGGGGCACTTGAAAATGTCACTCGACACAACCGGAAGTGTTTATGAAAAACAGCTCAAATCAATCAGCTCACGTCCATTTCTAACCGAAAAACACAAAAGAGATTGACACAGGTCCACAGGTTAATGTCCTTAAATATCCGACAAACATCGGAAAGATAACAGTGAAATAACATCTTAAATGACACAACACGAGCGAGAAATAGTGTCGACGACCAAACAAAGGGACGTAACTCTAACTACAAGACATTCTCTTTGCATACGTTTACACATAGTCTTCGTTCACCGTTCGTACCTACCAACCAGTTTTAGGGACGCGTTCAAATTATTTTATGGTTTAATCTTCAACATAATTTAGTTATACAAATTGACACCAAAAATTCAAGCCAGTTCATGTTTTCGTATTAAGCATTGTAAAATATATAATGTTTTTTTAAACACGGGATAGGTTCGCCAAGTGATTTGTAAATCGTCTTCCTAAAACTCGCAGTGCACTCATGTTCAATCAGTGTGCACAAGTGTACATAACACAGTGTCTCTGTAATAAATGTTCAGACATGCCTAATATATTGGTGTTGTTATAACTAAGTTGAATTGCGGAAGTCCTGCAAAAGAGAGCCAGAAGCCTGAATTTCGAAACGAACTTTGTGAAACATCATAGTCGGCGCTTACAGGCATAACTGTTTAACAGTTTTTGTTTGTTTGTTGTTAAAAGTCGCACTCAGATATATTCCGGTGGTCTGTGAATAATCGAGTCTGGACCAGACAATCCAGTGATTGATAACATGAGCATCCGTCCACGCAAATGGGATACGATGACATGCATCAACCAAGTCAGCGAGCCTGACCACCCGATCCCGTAAGTCGCTTCTTACGACAAGCATGAACCCGGATCTTCACGGGTCTGTTTAACAGTATATGTTTTTACAGATACATCAATTTGCGGGTGTCTGTTTACCAACATAGGTCTTTACAGGCATATCTGTTCACTGGCTTATTTATTTACAGGCATATTTATTTGCATACATATCTGTTCACTGGCATATTTATTTACATGCATATTTCTTTACAGGCATATCTGGTTACTGGCATATTTATTTACAGGCATATTTATTTACAGGCATATCTGGTTACTGGCATATTTCTTTACAGGCATATCTGTTAACTGGCATATTTCTTTACAGGCATATCTGGTTACTAGCATATTTATTTACAGGCATATTTATTTACAGGCATATCTGTTTACTGGCATATGTATTTACAGGCATATCTGTTTACAGACATATTTACCGCACCACGTGTGGTTTTTCCTACCGACCGCTGATTTTTGTTCAGTGATCCGTTATATCTATGTGTATTTTAGCTATGCTTTGAGGTCGCCAGTGTAAGGACGACCTCGTGGACATTCTGGAGAATTGCTATATCAAGGGGAGAGTACTCTTGCGAGTGACAAAGGTTCGTGTCGGCACCGTTTGGCAACAATAGTTTATTACTGTAAACCTGTTTTCAAAATCAACAGTCTCCATAACCGGGTCCAGACTGGGGCGCGGGGATGCGCACCCGTGTTTTATAAGACATCTTACATGCCTCTAGTTGTCAGTTCCTCTACAACTTGGGTTGGTTGGTTAGTTGTTTTACGCCGCACTCAGCAATATTGCAGCTTTATGACGGCGGTCTGTAAATAATCAATTCTGGACCAGACAATCCAGTGATTGACATCATGCGCATCGATCCACGCAATTGGGATACGATGACACGCATCAACCAAGTCAGCGAGCCTGATCACCCGATCCCGTTAGTCGCGTCTTACGGCAAGCATAGGTTGCTGAAGACCTATTCTACCCAGGATCCTCACGTGTCTTGGGTTTTCCTGACACACCCAGTTGACACGTCGTGCTAATGACTGAAATTCAGTTATATGCAAAAAATAAATAATTTGTTGGCAGTAGTCAAAAAACAATGAATAGTTTGTTATGTGGAAAATACCCAAACGTCAATTTTATGTGTGTTAATGGTGGAATTGAAAATGATTGTTTTATGGTGCTCGGTAAATATAAAGTTTGTTGGATACAGCCGGGAAAAATTAGAATATTATAACCGCAACACCCAACCAGCTTACACAATAAATGGATGCTCTCCTTTCGTCCTCCAGGTAGCAATAGTGACGGACCGCGCGGTCACCCTTACATGAATGGATGAAGCGTCGTATAATCTGCGTTATCGTCTTGCTTTCCACTTCTGCAATTTAATAATGGATATCTATAGTTTCGTTTTGTTTGTTTGTTGTTTGCCGCAGCACTTAGCAATACGCAAGCTATATGACAACAGGCTGTAAATAAACGAGTCTGTACAAGGCAAACATGTGAATGATTTTAATAGCAACAACGCATCATGCGTCGGAGAACGATGATACATAATCACCCGGAACACCCTCGATCACCCCGTACAGCCACCATCAGGGGGCAGGGGATCATTTCCAACCCGTACACCCCGCGGGGGGGGGGGGGGGGGGGGGGGGCGTATATAATCGAATTTGGAACAGGCAACCTCCTGACACCACGAGCTTCGCTACGCAATTTGGGATACATCATCAATCGAATCATCGAGTCTGACCACCCGATCCCTTTAGTCGCCTCTTATGACAAAACGTGGGTTGCTGAAGATCAATTGTAACCCGGACTTCACGGAAACCATGTCACGTATAAGGACCAACATTTCCTATTCCCTCATATATTGAATTGATATCTTCACTTTAGTTGGCTGCTTTAATTACATGTAGAACATCAGATAGATTGTGCATGAATCTAGCCCTAAAGCTGTTAACTTATTATTGACATCTAATATAAGATTTACCCTACTGGCTACGTTTGGTGTCACATCGCCTATACTCCACTTTGCCGACAGTCTTATAACAATACGTTATGGTCTCGTGGTTGTGCAGAATTACCCTGATAGATTCAAGACTACCCTTTGTGAAGAATGGACTGAACTATTTTGTATTCAACACGAAGACAAACAGTGGGTATTGATGTAAGAGATTTTATTATTTATGATGCATAAAATAAATATGATCATGGTCTTACAGAAAACAAGAAATATCAAAGTTTATCAATAGTTGCGAGTGACTGGGCAAGTTACCTTCAAAGTCACCATAGTGCAAGTCTTAATAGTTCAAAATCACTTGTCATACACAGTCATTTAAACTTCAATGCATTCAATAGATGGCCGGCAGCATCAAGAAAATGAAGTGGTGTCTTCCTTCCAGTGGCCGTACCTCCGAGGCAAGAGAGTTAACTGAGTAAAGTCCAGTTTCCAACCTTGCCGAACTAGACTGAAATTTCCAGGCTCGATCGTTGCGCCACCAGTGGCTATTACTATTTTTGTTCCATCTTTGTCCCTCCTATTGACCAATCAGTTTCTATCTCTCATATTACTTGCATTTGCTTCAAACACAATGGCGGCGCCCAGTCAGGATTCATTACGCAACGAGTTACGGAAACCAGTCTCAAATATGCCCTTAAGAGGGACACGGAATAATACAAGTTGGTCACGATTGTGGACCTAGGCCGTGATGTCATTCGTTGCCGTGAAAATAGCGACGAGTGAGTGAGTTGGGTTTAACGTCGCTTTTAACAGTATTACAGTTATATCACGGCGTGTCAGCTTAATGTGGGAGGGAAGCCCGAAGTGATGCAGGTCTCAGACGTTTACCACTTCGGTGAAACCCACGAGCACGGGTATGGTGCTGACAAACCTAGAAACATAATTTGGGCGAACCGGGATTCGACCCCACAATCATAGGTTTCTGGCGTGCCCAAGGGACGCAACTCTGCACAGCGAATCGCGGCGCCTCAGAAGACTGGGCCATCCGTGCCCCCGAAAATAGCGACGACACCGCGATGCGGCCGTATGTAGTCATGGTTGATGGCGGAACGTAGTGTTTTGTTTGTTTGTTTGTTGTTTAACGCCGCACTCAGCAATATTCTAGCTATATGACGGCGGTCTGTAAAATAATCGAGTCTGGACCAGACAACCCAGTGATTGACATCAGGATCGTAGTGTATATGTTACAGTCACTGTGTAAAATCAGTCAATGTTTTTAATGACTGAAAATTTCGGCGTTTCGTAAATTGCCTAAATGAAAATTTCGGTCATTTTACACATTGACTGTAACATACAAACCGATTAAGTATTGACGATGAATTTGCCGTCGTTGTCACCAATCGAATGCCACATTCCAGACTCGTTCACTGTGCGGTGTTACATAGGTAATCAAGACGACTAACACAGGTTTAGTTGAAATATTTTATTCTACATTTCCTACGATTTTATTATGTACATGTTTTTTTTCACAATTCATGACTTGTATACACCGACGCTGATAAACAGTCATCAACAAACAATTACTTCATCAATAAAAGAATTCAAAATATACTTTACAGGTTGAAAAATGTCAATTGCACAAATATTGACTAAGTGGATCATATTTATACATCCATCCTCCCAACAAGAAGTATACCAGATACTCCATGAAATAACAAACACTATACACACGTACACATTAATTCCTTTATACAGAACCAACCCATCATAAAAAATAGTTCGTTTTGATAAACGAAAATGTAAGATTTGATTTCATGACTTTTAAAGTTTTCTTATATGAACTGCCGAGGAAAAGAAAGTATACACACGTTTGATGGTGGTTAAATGAAACGAACAAGAAATGGTTATCCGATGGTGATGTATTTCATACGGGTATCGGAGGTGTTTTGGACTTAGGTTTCGCATTCGTCACCACTCGCCCCTTTCCGTAACCTGCAAGACGGCTTATCCCGGAATAACACGAGTTGGTCACGAATGTTAGGTTCCGGTGGCTATTTTCAGCCTTGAAACGTTTGTAAATGTTTGGTTTATTCCAATTTTCAAGTGTATACTTTCTTTTGCCGGGCGTGTATTTCACCATACGAGTGTTTAGATTAGGACATGCATGTTCCTGCGTTTATTTATTACGTGTTAGACTGTGTCGGAACTACCATAAATACACTCTAAGTTGCACCAAGTATCTCTAGCACTCTGGGTTCAGCAAATACTGAGCCAATCGCATTGTTTTGTTTCTATAAATAAATAATTATTCGGAGCACCTACACTCAAGAACCTTTTCCCGAATGTGACTTCAAGTTCAGATACGCTGAAGAACCAAACCTTGCTGGAGACATTAGATGGGTCAGGCTATTAGCTCTAGTGAGTTTTACGCCGCTTTCTGCTATTTTCCAGCAATGTCATTACGCGGGGACATCGGAGATGTCCTTCACACATTGTACCCATGTTGGGAATGAAACTCGGGTCTTCGGCGTGACGAACGATCGCTTTAACCACTAATCTACCCCACCCCCTATAAGCACTAGTCATATGTATAGAAACTGGAACAGAGATGTCCTGAGATTAGTTTATTCTTGTGGTGGAAACGTTGTGTCGGCACACCACAGACTCGGGTTGTTTCTCCGCTAGATTACAGTTGATAGAACACTTTTTTTATTAATTTACAAAATTTGTAGACGCTTTTTCCATGACGGACACACATTTCCAAACCTGCGAGGTAGTATCTAATTTCAACCAAACGTCACAACACTGTCGTCCTTTCGGGTACCCATTCAACAGCTCAATAAACTGACACAGTGTAGATTCGAACCCGACCTTAACTTTGGAGCCTTATAAAGAGAAAAAATTGATTATGAAACTGTACTGATGTATCAGCAGTTTTAGGGTGAAAACAAATCCATTGTATTCCCTACTGGAATTGGTATGACCGACAACAGTCATTTATATCATATACATGGTAGATAGTATATATATTGCTATAAAGTCATTGGACATAAAAGCATGAAGCAAGATGAAACGGGACGGGAATAGCGTAGTATGTGAATAAAAGTGCAGTATATAACTATATATAGCTACTTGATTCATTGTGACTTCATCTTCATCAACAAAACGATACAGCGGAACCCCGTAAACCCGGAAACCTGCCTCCTGGACAGTTACTCATCACAATCTCTCTATGAATACAAATATTCACTCTGTCACCAGGACTCGTTAATCCGGATATTGTTGTAATTCGATTGTACTTGGGATGGCAGTGTCTGGATAAACGGGGTACATACATTTGTATATATATTTCACAATCCTAGCTATGATTTGATTGACAATAAATGATTCAATAGATAATTATACATGTAGTCATCTTTCAGCAGCATCCAAGATGTATCAAAATAAAGCAACATCGATTGGAATAGGAATAGTGAGATGCCTTTCATACTTATTACAGAATGGAACCAAACTTAATTGCAGCAATGTAGTACATGTTATCAAAATTACCATGTAGTACTGAATTTAATCAAAGATGCAGTGAATGTAACAGACATTCCAACATACTAAATGTAATCACAATCCCCTCATATTACTAAATGTAAGCATAATTTCTTGCTAATAGACAGCTCCGACTAATCAAGCAATTGTCCATCAGCTGTGACTAATCAAGCAATTCACAAGCTCTCACAAAAAAAATGTTATTTTCAAAATACATGACATGAGAATAAATATCTGATGTTTTATGAACTAGTAATTCATATATTCCACGTTAAAGATTCAAGAAAAATACGTTTCTAGGTAGACGAAACGGTATTTTGCATAAACAGCACTGTCATGCGGTATCATTAGAAACCAAACCTCAGGGAGGCGTACATTAATGCTTAAATTAAACTGATGCTCATCACTAATGAAATGATTGATAATTACTTGGCCCTGATTGATATGGGACATGAAACTATTGAAGCAGAAATCTATATTATAATACTATAAATAATATATAATAATATACAATATATATATATATATATATATATATATATATATATTATGCCAAGTGCCAGGTGCCAAGTGTAGGGTTATGTTCAAATAGTTCAAAGTCCCCCAAAATATAATTAGAAATTACAGTTACAAAGTATTTAAATGAGCATGATGTGAATACGATTTAATGAAAGATTGTCAATGACATGTATTTCAATATAACCGGATAATAATGAATACTCCAAGCCAAGGCGCCATTGTTCTGGGACATGGCGGGGTCGGAGGTTTTCGAAATCCAGTTGACCTCGTTTGGTCCCATTTGGAACCTCAAATCCATCTAGAAAGGTCAATCCGCTAATATATCATGAGAGGTATCCCACGACAGCATGTCACGTCCTAGGTTGGATTCGCGAACAGCTGGTTTCAAAACTGATTTTCAGTGATCCATTTATATAATTTCCATCACTATTTTGTCTTTTACACCCAATGGAATCTGATTCAGCAGACAAGTGGATCTGATTAGTCCGTGGTTTTGACCTTATATATATACTTCAACCACGACAGTATCAGTGAAACTTTTAACTTTTTACAGTATCAGTGAAACTTTTTACTTCAAAAGAACATTATCGGTAAGGATCAAATGACCATTTCACATTAGACACCAACACAACGTACACGTGACCTTCACCTCTGTCTACAAGGTCATAAAAAGGATTGCGTTACCCAGCAGAAAATTTCCCAAACTTTATGGATTTTCTTGACATATAACTACATTTTCCTTTGGAATAATAACAAATTTGCGACACTTCACGATACGACAATACAGCATGTGTATTCTTTTGTTTGAGAACACTTTATGAGGTGTGGGCACAGACAGGCCCTTGCTGTTTGAGATGGATGATACCTCTGTGGCCATATATCCCTGCACAGTTAATTGCATTCGCTTTTGGTGTCACGTGATCAGTATTTTTCAAGGTCTTGAGGGTCCGGGGTGTTCAGGGGGTGTCTGTCTGCTGATTGGTCGGAGCTTCGGGTGTCGGGTGTCTTGCCTCTTTGTTCTCTGCCTTTTCTCAACTCATCAAGCCTCGCTTTGACATTCTCCGTCTGTCGCTGCTTCTCAGAGGCATACCTGTTCAACGAAATTTCAGTACGTCATGAGTCACATGATCAACGAGATTTTAATACTAGAACGTCATTCGGTGAGGTGAGGTGAAATGGTGTTTTACGTCGCGTCCAAGGTTATTGCACTTATATGGCGACGTGCGTGCACATGTGTCCGGACTGATGCCGATATATAGTGCTAGCCCACTGAGATACCATGCCGAAGTTTAACATAAATATCCCACTCAGAGTATACAGTATACTGACTCCGAGCCGACCAGTCCTTGTTTTAGCCCATTATTGCCGACGCCAGACAGGGTAACAACAAGTAACATCTTTTAACGTCTTTTGGTATGACGCTGCCGGGGATAGAACCCCGGACCTTCAGCTCTCCGGCGGACGCTCTACCACTAGACCACGGAGGCGGTAAATAAGTAATTAGACAATGATCGACAAAACTTCGATAAATCATCAAACAGTGACCACGCATTTGTTGTTTGTTTGTTTGTTGTTTAACACCGCACTCGGCAATATTCAGCCACATGACGGCGGTCTGTAAATAATCGAGTTTGGATCAGACAATCCAGTGCTTGACATCATGAGCATCGATCTACGTATTATGGATACGATGACATGTATCACCCCAGTCAGAGAACCTGACCGCCCGATCCCGTTAGTCGCCCCTGACGACAAGCATGGTTGCTGAAGACCAATTCTAACCCGGAACTTCACGGGTCCAGTGCGTCTGTCAAAGGATGCGACTATGGTTAGTTTGAAAAATACGACAAAACAATGAATACAAATGCGCCTTAATGCTTGAAAGGAAACATAAAAATGTCTGTTTGTATATCTATGTATAAATTTACTTCATCTCAACGTAAATCCAATTTTGTAATTGTATCTATTTTGTCATAGGGTCATCGGTCGGTTCAGGTGTCAGGATAGGGGTCACGTCCAAAAAACAAAATGTAAAAAACAGATGGACGTCAACTTTCAAGTCAACTAACCATAGCAACATGTCACGGTTATGGCGAATGGCGAATCAAATTATCATTTCCTAGGTGTTGTACATAGTACTATTTTTCAACAGATAATACGGTATTTGGTGGCTGAGCGTGTGACCGTGTAGGTGAATGTTTGTCGATAAGTTCGCGCAGACTGAGGCGATGCGCTTGAGTGAGACAGAAGACTAGTCACCTCCCCGCCCTCACACCCCGTGTATGTAATATAGATATATATCTATATTATTGTACGAGATAGTCAAAAGTTAATTATTTGTGTAAACATGTACGAGCAGATCAAGATTAACAAGAGAATGTTAGCCACTGGGCGGCAAAGAATGTTAGCCACTCGGCGGCAGAGAATGTTAATCACTGGGCGGCAGAGAATGTTAGCCACTGGGCGGCAGAGAATGTTAGCCACTGTGTGGCAGAGAATGTTAGCCACTGTGTGGCAGAGAATGTTAGCCACTGGGCGGCAGAGAATGTTAGCCACTGGGTGGCAGAGAATGTTAGCCACTGGGCGACAGAGAATGTTAGTCACTGAGCGGCAGAGAATGTTAGCCACTGGGCGGCAGAGAATGTTAGCCACTGTGCGGCAGAGAATGTTAGCCACTGGGTGGCAGAGAATGTTAGCCACTGGGCGGCAGAGAATGTTAGCCACTGTGCGGCCGAGAATGTTAGCCACTGTGCGGCCGAGAATGTTAGCCACTGTGCGGCAGAGAATGTTAGCCACTGGGCGGCAGAGAATGTTAGCCACTGGGCGGCAGAGAATGTTAGCCACTGGGCGGCAGAGAATGTTAGCCACTGTGCGGCAGAGAATGTTAGCCACTGTGCGGCAGAGAATGTTAGCCACTGGGCGGCAGAGAATGTTAGCCACTGTGCGGCAGAGAATGTTAGCCACTGTGCGGCAGGGAATGTTAGCCACTGTGCGGCAGAGAATGTTAGCCACTGTGCGGCAGAGAATGTTAGCCACTGTGCGGCAAAGAATGTTAACCACTGTGCGGCAAAGAATGTTAGCCACTGTGCGGCAAAGAATGTTAGCCACTGGGTGGCAGAGAATGTTAACCACTGTGCGGCAGAGAATGTTAGCCACTGTGTGGCAGAGAATGTTAGCCACTGTGCGGCAGAGAATGTTAGCCACTGGGCGCCAGGGAATGTTAGCCACTGGGTGGCAGAGAATGTTAGCCACTGTGCGGCAGAGAATGTTAGCCACTGGGCGACAGAGAATGTTAGCCAATGGGCGACAGAGAATGTTAGCCACTGTGCGGCAGAGAATGTTAGCCACTGGGTGGCAGAGAATGTTAATCAATGGGCGACAGAGAATGTTAGCCACTGTGCGGCCGAGAATGTTAGCCACTGGGTGGCAGAGAATGTTAATCACTGGGCGACAGAGAATGTTAGCCACTGGGCGGCAGAGAATGTTAATCACTGGGCGGCAGAGAATGTTAGCCACTGGGTGGCAGAGAATGTTAGCCACTGGGTGGCAGAGAATGTTAGCCACTGGGCGCCAGAGAATGTTAGCCACTGGGTGGCAGAGAATGTTAGCCACTGGGCGGCAGAGAATGTTAGCCACTGGGCGGCAGAGAATGTTAGCCACTGGGCGGCAGAGAATGTTAGCCACTGGGTGGTAGAGAATGTTAGCCACTGTGCGGCAGAGAATGTTAGCCACTGTGCGGCAGAGAATGTTAATCACTGGGCGACAGAGAATGTTAGCCACTGTGCGGCAGAGAATGTGAGTCACTGGGTGGCAGAGAATGTTAGCTACTTGGCGGCAGAGAATGTGAGTCACTGGGTGGCAGAGAATGTTAGCCACTGGGCGGCAGAGAATGTGAGTCACTGGGTGGCAGAGAATGTTAGCCACTGGGCGGCAGAGAATGTTAGCCACTGTGCGGCAGAGAATGTGAGTCAGTGGGTGGCAGAGAATGTTATCCACTGGGTGGCAGAGAATGTTAGCCACTGGGCGGCAGAGAATGTTAGTCACTGAGCGGCAGAGAATGTTAGCCACTGTGCGGCAGAGAATGTTAGCCACTGGGCGGCAGGGAATGTTAGCCACTGGGTGGCAGAGAATGTTAGCCAGTGTGCGGCAGAGAATGTTAATCACTGGGCGGCAGAGAATGTTAGCCACTGGGTGGCAGAGAATGTTAGCCACTGTGCGGCAGAGAATGTGAGTCACTGGGTGGCAGAGAATGTTAGCCACTGGGCGGCAGAGAATGTTAGCCACTGGGTGGCAGAGAATGTTAGCCACTGTGCGGCAGAGAATGTGAGTCACTGGGTGGCAGAGAATGTTAGCCACCGGGCGGCAGAGAATGTTAGCCACTGGGTGGCAGAGAATGTTAGCCACTGTGCGGCAGAGAATGTGAGTCACTGGGTGGCAGAGAATGTTAGCCACTGGGTGGCAGAGAATGTTAGCCACTGGGTGGCAGAGAATGTTAGCCACTGTGCGGCAAAGAATGTTAACCACTGTGCGGCAGAGAATGTTAGCCACTGGGTGGCAGAGAATGTTAGCCACTGGGCGGCAGAGAATGTTAGCCACTGGGCGGCAGAGAATGTTAATCACTGGGCGGCAGAGAATGTTAGCCACTGGGCGGCAGAGAATGTTAATCACTGGGCGGCAGAGAATGTTGGCCACTGGGCGGCAGAGAATGTTAATCACTGGGCGGCAGAGAATGTTAGCCACTGGGCGGCAGAGAATGTTAATCACTGGGCGGCAGAGAATGTTAATCACTGGGCGGCAGAGAATGTTACCCACTGGGCGGCAGAGAATGTTAATCACTGGGCGGCAGAGAATGTTAGCCACTGGGCGGCAGAGAATGTTAATCACTGGGCGGCAGAGAATGTTAATCACTGTGCGGCAGAGAATGTTAGCCACTGGGCGGCAGAGAATGTTAATCACTGGGCGGCAGAGAATGTTAGCCACTGGGTGGCAGAGAATGTTAGCCATTTGGCGCCAGAGAATGTTAGCCACTGGGTGGCAGAGAATGTTAGCCACTGGGCGCCAGAGAATGTTAGCCACTGGGTGGCAGAGAATGTTAGCCACTGGGCGGCAGAGAATGTTAGCCACTGTGCGGCAGAGAATGTTAGCCACTGTGCGGGAGAGAATGTTAGCCACTGGGCGACAGAGAATGTTAGCCACTGGGCGACAGAGAATGTTAGCCACTGTGCGGCAGAGAATGTTAGCCACTGGGCGACAGAGAATGTTAGCCACTGTGCGGCAGAGAATGTGAGTCACTGGGTGGCAGAGAATGTTAGCCACTGTGCGGCAGAGAATGTTAGCCACTGGGCGGCAGAGAATGTTAGCCACTGGGTGGCAGAGAATGTTAGCCACTGGGCGGCAGAGAATGTTAGCCACTGGGCGGCAGAGAATGTTAGCCACTGTGCGACAGAGAATGTTAGCCACTGGGCGCCAGAGAATGTTAGCCACTGGGCGGCAGAGAATGTTAGCCACTGTGCGGCAGGGAATGTTAGCCACTGTGCGGCAGAGAATGTTAGCCACTGTGCGGGAGAGAATGTTAGCCACTGTGCGGCAGAGAATGTGAGTCACTGTGCGGCAGAGAATGTTAGCCAATGTGCGGCAGAGAATGTTAGCCACTGTGCGGGAGAGAATGTTAGCCACTGTGCGGCAAAGAATGTTAGCCACTGGGCGGCAGAGAATGTTAGCCACTGGGCGGGAGAGAATGTTATCCACTGTGCGGCAGAGAATGTTAGCCACTGGGCGACAGAGAATGTTAGCCACTGGGTGGCAGAGAATGTTAGCCACTGTGCGGCAAAGAATGTTAGCCACTGGGCGGCAGAGAATGTTAGCCACTGTGCGGCAGAGAATGTTAGCCACTGGGCGGCAGAGAATGTTAGCCACTGTGCGGCAGAGAATGTTAGCCACTGGGCGCCAGGGAATGTTAGCCACTGGGCGCCAGAGAATGTTAGCCACTGTGCGGCAGAGAATGTTAATCACTGGGCGGCAGAGAATGTTAGTCACTGGGTGGCAGAGAATGTTAGCCACTGGGCGGCAGAGAATGTTAGCCACTGTGCG